AGTTGTGATTGAGAACGGCTGCCTATTTTATCTGGGGAGGGTATTTTATTTGTTAAGGCAATTACTGAGGAAGAAATTATTTAAAATATTGACCAGGAAATATAAAATTTATATTTATATTTAAATCGAAAGATTTAGTTACGTTAGGTTTTGGGAGTTCGAGCAGTCCATGTGGCGATGAAGGTGGAAAACTGGAAAAGATAAACATTCAAAATCGAATATTAATTCTTTAACTTTTGGGTATAATGGTCTACTAGTATTAAGAATTTATTAATCTAAAGGCACCAAATTAACTCCACCTCTTCGATTCAATTAAAGTAGGTTTTGTGAAACTTAATTATGTGATATTTGACATAAGACTTGTATTTAAGTTAAAATTAAGGGTTTGTTTAATTTATGTGTTAAAGGTGTAATAAATAGATTTTTTTATAATTAATTTACATTAAAAATTGTAAAAATTTATATATATTTTAACATTACTTACACATGTATGATTTTAATTAGTTAATTAAATCAAAATCAACATTTATATTTAGTTTATATTTTTTATTGTTCTTTTAATATAAATTTTTTTGTGTTAACTCATTCTCTTTATATATAGGTTTGATCTTAATTTTGAATTATATCATGTAATTCTCAAGTTACGAATTTAAGATGCCCTTTTCATATATAGATTCAATCTGTCACGTGAATTTTGAGCTGACAAACCAACTCAATAAGCCTTTTTCTTATGTAAAGTCAAACTATCATAAGATCTTGAGTTCCCTATAAATGTAATATAGGTTTTAATACTATATGAAAATTGAGTAAATGAGTTTTAATATAAAACTTACATTTAATCTAAAACTAATTAGCAAATAGAAAAGGTAGATCTACCTGTATTTAATCCATATGTTTCCTTATTATTTATCTAATATAAGATTATATCACTTAACACACCCCTCTAATGTAGGGTTGATATTAATTTCAAATCATGTCATGCGGATTTCAAGTTACAAACTTAAGAGGTCCTCATAACACACAACTTTAATCTAAGTTGTTATTTGAATCTTAAGCTAACAAAGAAGCTTAATGGGTCCTCCTCATGCAAGTTGAAATTGTCAGGAGATCTTTGGCTTCTTAGAGAAACAAAGCATGAGCTTTGATATCATATTAAAATTGAGTATATGGGTTTGAACAAAAAACTAACATAAAACTTATATCTAATTTAAAATTAATGGATAATAGGTGGAACAGTCCTTCTTGTATTTAACTTGCATTTTTTTTTTCAACATGAGATTTTCTCACTTAACATGTTTTTCATGTCGAGATTAAAAAATTTATGAAAATTACTACTTTATTAACTTTTTCTAAAGAATCAAAACTACAATTAACAAGTTAAACATTTTTTAATCAAAAATGTTATAATTATAATGTTACGTGATATTGTAAACTTATAATATAATATATTATTATATAATTAATTCTTTTTATTTAGGGATCCACCTATGATATTATATATAGGGATCCACCTATGATATTATATACATCCACTTGTTTAATTTCATATCATACTGATTTAATATTACATTATAATTGTAATGTTACAATCTTATATGGCAGTGTAACTATTAACATGTGCTATTAATGCCCATTTTAATAATTAATTTATATTGAAAATATAAAAACTAATTTTTAATAGATTTGTCTAACGTGTGCCCTTAGAGCATAGGTCAAATGTGTATTAAATATAACTCTTCTTCATAAATTTGCATTGAAAAAAAATATAATCAACATTTATATTATCAACTGTTTAATTAAATTCATCAACTTGACACTGAGACTAAAATTAATATCAACTTTTACAATTTTCAATATACATTTATAATAACAAAATGAGAAATGATACATATACCTTGTAAAGTTACACACTCCATTACAAATTGATAAGTTTCCATTACTTGTACTGTTAAAGCTGACAATTTCCATTACTTGTTCCGTCAAAACTAATGGTTTCTATTATTTATACTGTTAAAACAGATGGTTTTCGTTACATACTAATGGTTTCTGTCAATATATAACTATCAATATATAACGAAATATGTAACTGTATAGTGTGTATGTATCATTATTCTAAAAAAATACTCTTAACTTGTGTTCTTAGAAAAACTCATTTTTAATATGTAAACTAGGTTTCATTGATACTAATTACAATTAATATTAACTTTTATATTTCTCTATATAAATTAAAAATTAAAAAGTATATTTATTACACCCT